CACAAAGACCACACACACACACACACACACACACACACACACACACATGCACACACACAAAGACCACACACACACCCACACAGACTCACAGCCATACACACACACACACATAGACCACACAAACACACACACACAGAAACACACACACACACACATAGACCACACAAACACACACACACACACACAGACATGCACACACAGACACGCACACACTCACAGATACACACACTCACACAAAGTCACATGTACATACACACACACCCCAGTACAAGTGTGGACTGGGGAAGTACATGAGCTTTGAAACACAGAACTAAGTCACGTAAATCAACAGACACCAACAGCCACCTGAAGCGAGCGACAACCCACCTTCATGAACACTGTTTGCAACCTCCCGCAGAATTTGCCACACGATTTCTCACTATCCCTGGAAAACAGGACCGAGTGCGCTTTAATCCGAGCATAGGCAACTCGCTTCTCGCCGGCCAGCATCCAGAGAACCACGTCAGGCAGGCTGTTCTGAGGCTGCGAGGGTCACAGGAGGAGAGCGCTTGAGCTTCCAATGGCTCTTGCTGCCAGGATTCAATTCACAGACCTACGTTCCCGACCAACCCTGCCACCTCACCCATGCACGAGATGAAAACAACTGGCCTGCAGTTTAACTGTTAGAACATGTACTTTCGAACAGAATTCAGTGCAGGACCAGGAAACCCATCCCCTCCCTAAATGCTCCCCCTTGTCTTCAACAATCCCTGTCAATGCATGTACTAGAGCTAAGTGAGTGACAAAGTATCGCACCAAATAAACCAATAAGTGGCAACACCCTCCTCCACACAACTTACAGCAAGTCTTGAATACATACCACAGCAGAGTAGAGGGAGCGCCGCGCTGTCGTAGGGTCAGTGCTGATGGAGCGCCACACTGTCGGAGGGTCAGTGCTGATGGAGCGCCGCACAGTCGGAGGGTCAGTGGTGAGGGAGTGCCACACTGTCAGAGGGTCAGTGCTGAGGGAGCGCCGCGCAGAGGGAGCGCCGCGCTGTCACAGGGTCAGTGCTGAGGGAGCGCTGCACTGTCGGAGGGTCAGTGGAGAGGGAGCACCGCACTGTCGGAGGGTCAGTGCTGAGGGAGTGCCACGCGGTCACAGAGTCAGTGCTGAGGGAGCGCCGCGTTGCCACAGGGTCAGTGTTGAGGGAGCGCCGCACTGTCGGAGGGTCAGTGCTGAGGGAGCGCCGCACTGTCGGAGGGTCAGCACTAAGGGAGCGCCACACTGTCACAGGATCAGCACTGAGGGAGCGCCGCACTGTCGGAGAGTCAGCGCTGAGGGACCACCGCGCTGTCACAGGGTCAGTGCTGTGGGAGCGCCGCATTGTCACAGGATCAGCGCTGAGGGAGCGCCGCACTGTCGGAGAGTCAGCACTGAGGGAGCGCCACACTGTCGGAGGGTC